AATATCAAAATGAATGTAGGAACTGAAGAAGATTTTTAGAATTAAGATAAAGTGATGCAAGAAATTGTTACTTGTTTTCTCATGTCCTCAACCGCAAGCATTTTGAATAAGTGTGATGCTGAAACATATGATGCACAACCTCTATAGAACCTATTGAAGAAAATAAAAATAAGACTGACCAAAAATTATGTGTCAGCCTTAGTAAATTGCGAAAATAAAAAGGTATCCGTAGATTCAAAGAATATCAAAGCATAGCAAGCAATAATGAGATAACGCTACAATTGACTGGTGTCAACGCAAGCACTTTTCAGTATATTTTAGAAATATTATCTAACATATTTCCTAGTGAAAAATAGTATATTACTGCCCTAGGCCGCGAAAAACAGAAAAACAGAAAAGTTTATCGGCCTCAGCTTCGCCTCGGCTACTAATTACACGTACTCTGGGGCTTTCTTTTTTCGCGGCATAGGCCTGTATACTATTTTTCATACACAGTGGCCCGAAAATAGCTCTTCTAGTTTTGAGCAGCAGCCGAGAAGTAGTCACTTTCTGGACGCTGGTATGAAATAGTATTTCGCTACATAGGTGCAAATACAATTTTTTTTGAATCCCCCAGCCTAAAGTAACATTTTGGTTTTGCTCAGCGGGAGTAAAATGTTACTTTAGGTTGGGGTGGCACAAAAAGGGTATTTTTACCTGAGCTTCTAAAAATATTTTCATGGATTCCCATCTATTTTGTAAATGCGAACGCAATTGATTGCAAATATGAAAAAATATCAAAAGCAAAAGCAATGAATAAAAAACGAGGACTTTTTGATATTGAAGATTAGGAGATATTTTCTAAAGTGAAGAATCTGATTGTGGTTCAAAAGATTATAATGACTTGAAAAATTCAACGACTTGATTATATAAATCAAGTCGTCTGTTGATAGCATCAGGAATCACACCACCATCCTCAATTCAATGTTACTATGAAAAACAACAAAAATGGACTTACCCTTCTTACAAGCATTTCAAATGTATAATAATCATGTGAGTGCATTTGATCAATATGACTTTCACTGCAGTAATGCAATGTAAGGTCTAAAAAATGGACTTTCGTTATTTTCAAAAGATTAATCCAAGCATCTATAGAAAATTTTAAAGTTCTCATAAAAATGGTAAGTAGTACAAGTAAAAATAGTGAGACAAAAGATGTTGCATTAAATGTAGCTCATGATTTAGTCTAGGCGCCATTAGAGGCGCCGTAGCCAGCCTTTTTGACAAATTTGCTAATAAAAAACGTTCAAGAGATCCAAGAGATTGAGACGTCAATCTCTTTGTTTTTTAAAGGACAATAAAATGATATGAAATTGTTTTAACAGCTTAGGAGGCATGGCAATATAAACAATTAAATTGTTAACAACTAATTCCTGCCCACTCGAATCGATTCTCACCAACGATGTTCATAATCAGCAGCCAAAAATACAGAGAATATGCTACATTAAAAAAAGGCTACATAAATTAGCCACAGGAACCCTTATGGTATCTAGATTAATGAGTTTCAAAATCAAAAAGAGAAATTGTTATAACTTTTTGTCATGTTTTGCGAAAACACAACTAATATGCATTACGTGTGATATTTGCATTTGTTCATTTTGTTTCTTGATAAAACACAGAAAATCAATTAAATCCTTACGCTATGGACCGAAATGAGTTAACCCCAAGCGTGAAAAATTGCATTTGTAAACATCTAACTAAACTAATTCAGATATGGTGCTAATTTTAATGATTGTAAAAGTAAGTTTAAAAAATCCACTTTATAAGAAAAATATTTTTGCAATTGAAAATAAATCAAAGAGCAAGCATATAAATAATGAAACCATCGAGCTACGTAATTTGTCGCGGAGATACATGTCACCCCCCTTACGATACTTTCAGTAGCCATTGTCAAGTGTGCATGCTCTGGGAATGTAATATATCTCGAGTTATAACGCAGAATACGGTCGCGTGGCCGACACGTGTCTTATAAGTGTTTGTTTCGGTTTGTATTGTCACCACGTATATTACGCAGCCGTCAGGCATCTAAAGGCGCGTAACGCGCGCTCAGTCTCTTCTAAACGTATAGCGATATACGTATGGGCAGCCTATTACAACTTGAGTCCCTTTTGCATTTAGATTATTTCCCATTTCTAAGGGTAAATAAGGCGCGCGTAAGCTGTCAGGATGAAAGCGGCGATCATGGGAACCGCTTGACATTATCGCGCTTCTCGATCCTTGTCGATGCACACCTAATCCTTCTCATCGGCAAACACTGTGTCAAGTACTTGTAACACATTTATTGATATACTGCTGTTATATTGCCTTTTTTAATTATTCGATAACAATGGAACTTGAATTAAAAATATTTCTCAGCTGTCAGGACAATTTAGAAAGTTTTCAATAAAATATGAATCGCATTGTATAGTTTTCATTATGAGCGGTTAGGATTTAATAAAAATATCTGAGCAATAATCTCGCTGTATTACGACGAAAAATACCAAAAAGTAAAAAAAAAGTATAACAGGCAGCAATCCTACGTAAGGTTTTATTGACAAACATTTTCGTGACAAATGCGAAGATTGTCAAGGAAATAGTCTCGAGGACACACGTATACACACAGAGATCTAATACTACCATGCGCGCGTGTGTTATAACACAAGGAAGGGTGAAATAAAGAGAGAACGAGAGAACGAGAGAGACTTGTTATCTTCATCACGATCAAGGAATGCAATATTCTCACCCCAAGCGACACAGTAAAGGTTGCTTCGGCCGTGTCATCGTCAAGTAACCTCCCCTCATCGCCACCGTTTCTGCCTGCACCTCCTCCGCAAGGGTTTTTTAAGAGGGGATTAAAACGCAATGAAAACCTCTGCATGTATGCTTAAGCGCACCTCTCTTTGCGCCTTTTTTACCTCTTAAGATTACTCTTTTTTTACGCATAAAAGCCAATGGGAATATATAAGTAAGAACTTCACACAACATTTTTGCTCCCTCCGATGTGCTTTCATAATTTTAAATTATATTTTTTTCTTGCATATGAAGCAAGAAAAATATGATTTTCAATTCCCCAATAATATTGCATCTTTAATCTTAAATGCTGTCCATCACTTTTTTCATAGTTTAAATTAAATATGATTAATTCAAGTTCAGCTCTATTCATTTGCCTAATAAGAAGTTAAAAATGTTCAATTTATTTACTTTGAACTTATTCTTTTATGAATTAACAAATTTTTCTATTTGCTATCGCACGAATTAGGAACTGTAGTATAAAAAGAAAATTTTGGAAATTGGACAAAAGTATCAGAATCTAATACTGATGATAACTAAAAAAAAAATTGACTATTCTATGAATAAGAATAGGAATTTTGTTGAAATAAAAGTGTAATTAAAGAAAAATATAATTTTAGCATATCGAATGATAGTTTATTATAATATTTTTTGTTCATATTCATTTGAAATATTTATATATTCATGTATATTACCGTGGTACTATTATTTTATAAATCTATCATTTCGACGCATTCATATATTTTATACCTAGCTACAGAAACGTCTTGAGTTTTGAGAATATTCCGCAGATTACACACATCGTCGTCACTGTACAATGCCATTTTCGTCTAATGTATAATGAATTCTTTTCACATTTTTTAACTGCAATAGCAAGTCTTCATTATCAAGGTTTAACAAACATTCACTCATCGTGTCTCTATTGTGTATGCATGCGTGTGTACGTTCAATAATCCACTAATACTTTCATATCACCCATGTAATCATTTGTTTAATTTTGCACATCAACTAGCTCATAAAACATGCGCGCGCGTGAATATTGTATGGGTACTTTTAATATGTATATTTTTATAAAAGTCAAGATGGAAATTAAAAAGTACTATTTTTGAAGTTAAAAGTAAAAGGTGATATTCTTCGTTCCGCGCGCGCAGACTCTAAGCGATCTTAGATTACACATTTACTGACACTTTCGTTGACTCTCTTTTATCTAGTAATATTTAAACGAGTATCATAGTGCAAGTATCTATTTGATACTTACGAACATGACAATTTTTTCTTAACTAAGACTCCTCTTATCGCTTATGCTTGTAAATCTATTGTACTGTAATGTATGCTTAAAATTAAAGTAATCATAAAATTATTTAATCTCTACAGACAATTGATGTGCATGCATTAGTACATTCGATTTTTATTTTACAATAGTTTTCCATTCTGGAAATATTTCTTTCAGTGATATTATCAAATGATTATTTTTTTGTTTACAGTAATGGAATATTATCATTTTATTTGGTTTAATATCACGTAAAGCTTAAAGCATAATTAAAAAAACATGAAGTTTCCCTCAAACAATGTTAAATAACTATTTTTTTTCGTTTTTTACTGAATTTTAATTTTACATGATGCATATTATAAGTCATTAATGTACTATGTACAGTGGTTGTAAGCCTATCCATGGAAATTGGAACCTGGGATATAAAATATGAGAAACACTAAAAAAATCGATGTCTACTATTGATCGATGTCTAAACTGAACGTTGAAGGTATTTACAATCTTGTAGCTATACAACTTTTATGAAAATATTTATTTCCCATTGAGTTACAAAATTATCAAGATTTATTAAACTTTACAATGATCATAAATAAAATTGTTATTAACAATTGCATGTTACATATACAAGATAGAACGCTAAATGAATAATGAAAAATAAAATTCAATTGCAAATAATTAATTTGCATTTATATTATTCGGGGTTAAAACACACAAATTAAAAAATCAAGTAAGTAGTATTTTATCCTATAATTATTGCACTCTGCATGGCTCTTTCAATCTTATAATTAATATATGCTATACGTAATGGCAAGAATATCCGTTTCAAAACTTCTGAAGATTACGCAATCAAAGTTTTCAAAAGTAATATTTTTAAACATAACTAGTAAAATCTCCAAATTTATAAAATCATAATATAACTCGACATTTTTTATACTAGTTCAATATTCAATAAGATTTTAATATTTGATAAACATTAATTTAAAAAAAAAATTTCGAACTAATTATGGATATCAAACGAGCCTCTCAACTTTGGACATAATGACAAGATATCGTATTTAAACGAACAACTCTTGCATTTGATATTTTGCACTATTTAAAGATGATGCTGCAACCTCGTTTGTAACGATCGAGCACTGAAAATATAAATTGCCATAACTTTTTTCATAAACGAATTTTCGAAAAACTGCCCTGTGGAGTCCTCTGAATTGTTTTCAATAACTGGATCGAATTTCAGCTAATTTTATCTGTTAGAAAAAATGTTATACCAATATACATTTTCAGTGCTCGGTTGGAAAAACGAGACTGCAATATCACTTTGTTTGGTAAAATAAATAATTTTTTCAGGATAGTTTTTACAACTTCGGCATTATTTCAAGTTTTGTCTTAGAAATATCAATCATATATTAATTTATATGGTTACACCATATATATAATTTTACCAATATCATAATTTCACTAAACATATAATAATACATACAATCTTTGGCCCATAGTAACATCGATTCTCCACTAGAACATGCTTCGCGTTCAGCAACGTCTTTCTGTGATACGACAACAGAATTGCGCGTTTGAATAAACTTTACACTAGCGGCGAAAAGGCTGAAGCTTGACTCCTGATTTCGCGATGCTCCGACGGACTAAGATCTAGTAAACCGCTGATCGTGTTTGGCTCGGTTGTGTTGCAATGATTCGCCACTGCGACTTGCTTGCCAATAATGGCGTCAATACTAAAACTTCTTTTCTTATCGTTTACAAGAATATTTGTGGCTGCCGACGGCGTCGTCGTAGTCGTTGATCCCGCTAAACTCGTCCTCGCAGAGGCACTGGCATTATTATTCATAACTGGCCTAACTGATGAAGGTACACTGATCGGCACTGGCTTGTAAAGAGGTGGCGGTGGCGGATGCTGCTGCTGTTGCTCCAAGAAGCCGCGTATTTTCAAGGCTTCTAATGCTGACGCTGAAAAATCCATAATCGGAAGACCAGCTGGAGGAGCTAAGTAAGCTCCTGGGTATGGTATACCGGCTGGCAAACCTCCACCAGGACAAGGACCTCTGTCACCGCAAATGGCAAATGTGGCCATTAACGCCCTGTCCCGCAGAACGTAGTGAGGTGATGGTCTTTTGTAACGTTTTCTCCGACGTAAAAAACTGCCGTTGTCAAACATATCCTCCGCTAGAGGATCCAAAGTCCAATAATTACCCTTGCCAGGATTGCCTGGCTCCCGGAGTATTTTGATGAAACAATCGTTGAGCGACAAATTATGCCTTATGGAATTCTGCCAGGCGGGAAATTTATCATGATAATAAGGAAACCTCGACATGATGAACTCGCATATGCCACTGAGGGTGAGCTTTTTTTGAGGCGACTGCAGAATCGCCATTGTGATCAAGGCTATGTAAGAGTAGGGCGGCTTTATTAACGACGAGGACAGCTTGTCCGATGAGTAGTTCGAGCTCGGGCTATTATTATTGTTATGATTGTTGTTGTTATTATTATTGGAACTATTCTTAGAGCTAGACGAAATCATCGAGTAAGATTTTTTGAAGCTGTTGCGGTTACGGTTTCGGCCCGAAGTAGACTGGGACGATCCGAGGGTCAAGGGCGAAGCTAAGCGTTCGACCTTGTCAATCGTCACTGGGTCCAGAATCATGCTGTTGTCTGAGTCTCGATCGCTGTCGGCGCAGCCGTCGCACGACGCCGTCGATCTCATCATCATCGGCTCCATGTCCAAGCTCAACATTTAAACTTGATTTAGATGCCACCTTTGAGGATGTTAAACAATTAGGACACTGAGCTCCACTCGGAAAAATTTAGCATTGATCCGATTCACAAAACAAACGAGACTTACCTTAAAGTTGTGACAGCGACATGCTCGGAGTGAAATTGAGTACCGGTGCAATTTGGTCGTAAGGTAGATCGAAAAAATAAACTCTGCGAAGTGTCATTTTTCGTTCACTTGCGCAACTACTATGCATACGCGTATGAAGATATTTTAACTCGTGTAAGTAGTTTATTTTTCAAGCGATATGAACAATTATTTTCGCTCGCGCACTTTAACTTGTCGCTTGTACTATCACCATTCGGTGTCGCAAGCTCACAGCTCCTGTAGAGACGAGCTGATGGAGTTTTTGAACAACTCTCACTGATCTTGACAAGTATATTTGCACAAATAACGTTTTACTACCACTATATTGTTTTCAGCCTGAAGAAGGCCTTGTAACATAATTAGTGACATTGTTCTCGATAGCAATTTACTGAATGATAAAGTTTAAGCTAGTTTTTTTCGTCGACAACAATACTTCTAATAATTTTTTTCTTGATATTCTTATGTAACTTGCAGATAAGCACAAAAACAATTTTCACTACAATCGTCCATAATCAGACTAATCGTTTTTAGAACATTATAGATGTACAAACAAAAATTCTTGTCACAAAAATCTCGGTAGAAAATCGGTAACACAGTGCGTAGTGACGCAGGTTAGATTAGAACGACAGACCAACGCGTCACGCACGAGAGCTTATAACGAATTGATTCTCTCAACCTCTAGCTCGACAAAATATCTCACTCTCTCTCTCTTCTGACGCTAGCCCACACCAGCGAGAGAGAGAGGCGGATCGTGCGCAGTCTCGAGGGCGGAGATATCGAGTCAACCCCACTCTTCGTCGATCGACGCGGTAGCGTTTCGGCCACCCCCGCATATACGCATGGACTGCTGCTGCTACTGCCGCTGCTGTTGCCGGGGACGGCTAGGAAAATAGCGGTATACGAGAATAGCACGAAGACAGAGGGAATGTATACAAAGGTGGAAAAACCAGAGAGGGTAGAGAGGCAACAAGGAAAGGAGGCGAAATTGTAACTGGGGGGCTGCTTTGCTTTGAGCGCGCGACTGGCGAGAGGGACGAGCGCAGATTCGAGTGTGATCGCAAGCTGCGACCGCAATCGCGATAGTGTATGCATGCGCGATAAAGAGCTGCTATTACCACTACTAACTGTGCACGAGAAAAAGACGATAACATACAAAACGTAAACGGAAGAAGATCGAACCTTTATCTAATGAATGGCTAAGAATTATAGACGGTCTTTTTTTAGACCACGATTGTAACGACGCCAGATATAACATTGGGCTGGTAATTAAATAGCATTTGTTTCCACAATGTCGAATATTCTTTCTTTTTTCTTTGACAACATTTTTATTTCATCGTGAAACGCAATTTTGGAAATAGTTATTACTTTACAGAGTATAAGTGAGTAATGATTATAGTACCTTGGTAAAGCACTATGAACTTGAAACAAACGCACATCATATGATATTTATATCGTTGCGCATGGCGTTAAGTAGCAAAAGTATAAGCATGAAAAAGGCCGCGAGCAACGTAAGTTAGCAAAGAAGAGCGAGTGTGTATAAAGCAGAGCGCGAACTTCCTAAGATTAAACCGTCCGATTACCCTCGGGCCGGTGTGGGCACGCTCACGCGGGCTGCGAATTTAAATCTCGCTAAGCTCTATAGCCATTAGGACCAACTGCAAACACTCAGCAGTGCATTATAAAGCCCATGCTGTATACGTATATACGCATGTTTGCGTAAGAGACGACTACTATCTTTACTCGCTGTGTCCCGTCCAGTGCGTACAAGCATAGAAGATGCGTTTTTCAAGCAAAGTGTTTATTCCCACGGAGATTTTATGGATCTACATTATGTTGGTTTGAATGTAAAATGAATAAATTTACAGATTTGGAGTCTTAAAATGCGGTCTATACCACAAAATCTTGTGTAAAGTGTTTTAATGTTCGATTATCAGACTAACACTTTATGTTAACACCTTACATGACACCTTATGCTATTTAATTATTAAGTATGAAACAGATAATGACAAGTGTAGCGACAATTTTCTATTTAGATAAAATAATAGTTATTTAGATCAGATATCGGAAAAATAAGATAATCATCGCGAGTTTATTGTAGTATTGTCAATGTCGAGGAAAACTGTAAGCAATAAAACTCAAGATTAGCGACAATAGTTTGTTTTAGATAGTAGAACGATTTTTTTAATAAAACTTTAACGCACGTGTATTTAGTGAATGACGCATCTTAATTTTCTCATCGGAGATAACTGAGGCAAAAAACAATACTCGTCACATCAGCGAGCTTTTCAAACAAATCTTAAGCATCGATGATAGAACAAGTAAATTAATGATGAGCAATTAAGAGGGAGCATCGGACGATCAAAGCTCGGAAAATATCCAAATTTTAACGGAAAAAGCATTATGTGAGAAATTTCAGAATTACATCATGATGTAACGAATCATTCTTTAGAGATAATAAAATAAGTGAAATCTACTTATTTTTTAATATCATTACTTATCAATTACTTGATACAATGTTTCATAAAGATAATAATAGTTAATATAGTTTGAAAATAATCGACTTTAGAAACATACAGCGATAAATGTTACTTTCAATTCTAAAAGATATTTTCCTTATACATTTTTCCGATTCAAAATTTATCGCCGCATTTTTCCGTAAATTACGGCATTTTCTAATAATCCTCTGAAAAGTCGGAGATCGATATACGTGTATCCCTGCAACGTAAACTCTTCAGACAACTCGAGTGATGAAGCATAGGCATACAATCGAGGCGCCCATGTACGTAGTTTGCATAATGTTATATCACGTATGACTAATTTTTCCAATCGATGAGGCCTCGACAAGTATAATAGCGGCGCGCAGATATTAGTATGCGCTGAAAAATTGCCAATATCAAAGGCAAATATACAAGAGGTTTGACAAAGTAGGCCTGGCAGACGTTAACCTGTTCTATGGCCATGCATATATACATGGCGTGCGCGCGTATGTATGTGTAGCATACGGCAGCGGTGCACGCGTGATCACGGCCTAAGCGTGCGCTGCGGGTGGCGGTGGTGGTGTGTTACGTAGCGAGCGACGCGCACCCGTAAGAGCGAGCGACGAAACGACACGATGAGAGACAGAGAGTAGCTCAGGGGATGAAATAGATTGAGAGGATACTGCGGGGCTATGCGAATAAAACAATTAGGGGTGCGTTGATGCACACTCGAACGAACACCCCACTAGGCTCTAGTGTCATTCTCGCTCTCCATCTCGTGTCGTGCGCGCGCTAGACGCGCATGCATATATACATACACAGCACATGTACGATGCGCGTATAATACATGTATACGGGGGATGGGGGCAAACTGTTCTCCCCGGCTATCGATGACAAGCAATAAAGTTTACCTCGATTAAAATCTAGACGCGACGCTTCACTTGTTCCGATGCAATCGCACACACCTCCTTAATATTTATCGAGTTTATAACGAATTTATCCGAGATTCGGATCTTAATTGATCGAGTGGAACTGGCCATCGTCGATCGGATATTTTAAATGTCAATTGTGTATCAATGAAGAACAATGCACGCTTATAGCCATGCCCTGATATTTAAATCGCTATTGTGCATAGAAGATGTATACTCAAAGAGCATCTGACAGTTTAAAAAGCATTTCAACGACTTTAACTCGAAGCGTTCTCGGTTAATCAAGTTTTTGTTCGCGAACGTTTCCAATTCAAATGGCCCCAATACTTTCGCTCGTTCCTTTTTTCTCGAGATAGAGCAAGAAACATCGACGCGGCGAGAAACTTTGCAATTAAATCTTTGCTCGCTGCAGAATCTCTCTGCCTCTCTCCCTCGCAACTCCTTTAATCGCCAAGTAAAAGCAATTAATTATCCGTAAATTGCTTTCTCCATAACATTTTTGCTAAGTTCGTTTCGACGATTCGCCGCAAGCTCAACTTTTAATGGGCTTATACACGGGAAATATGGCGCAACGTACCGGCCGAGGACCCGAATAAATGCGAGCCAACCGAGGAGAGCTGGAAAATATTCGCTCCCTCGCATTCACAATACAATACGTGCAGCCGGATTAAAAGTGCAATAATGTAAAGCAACGCGCTAAAATAATATCAAATAGGAATTTAAATAAATAAGCACGAGCGATTGAGAGAACATAATGAAAACGATCATATAAATCGGATTAGAACAAATTTATTTTGACAAGAGCACGTGACCCAACAAAAGCGTTTCTACCCCTAATCTACTTGGCACCTGCACCTGCTTTTTACACATACGCATACTCATATAAATATATATGGGTACAAACAGATGGAGCTGAAACCGACGGATTATATAATTCCTGAAAAGATTTTAAGCGCATGAGGATGCGACACTATGACAAAAGGATGAATAATTTAATGAAACGGAAAGGCGTTTTGAAAAATACTGATCGCTTTCTGTAGTCAGCGGGAGCGAATCTCTTGCATATTTCATATGCTTTGCCCCCACCTCTTGAGCGCTCGACATTCCCCCAAATAATATAGTTTCGAAAAATGAGAATACGACCCGCTTTTGTTTTACCACGAATAATTCCTGCTCTTTTTTCGTACGCTATGCGATCGATGGTACGCGAGAAGTTTCTGCAATCGATGACTTTTTTAGAATTAAAAAAAGCCTCTTCTGTAATGGTAATGAAAACGTTGCAGCGCGACCTTGACAGAGTATACGACAAGGAACGCGTGTAAGCGCTCGCTGATAAATCGCATTACAATAGATTTATTACGGCTGATAAAAGCATTTTGCTTTTCGCTTGCTAAGATAGCACGCGCGCGCGGCTCGATCGTGAGTTTTCTACGCGGAGAGTTATCATTTGTCATTGCCGTAGAATAATCTGTATAGCATTGAAAACCCCGCGCGTTTGATTTGGAATTAGAAAAGTTACAAATATTCCATCCGAGCGTTGATGCTTGAACTTAGGAGTAGCGCAATTGATACCTCGCTCTCGAGTGCGCTCGCTGTGCAAACGAAGCGATAAGTACAATAGATATTGACAATTTGTAAAAGATAAACTTTACGTAACGTAGCAAATGTCAAGGTAGTGAATATACTTCTGGTTATTTTCGGTAAAATCGTTAAATTCATTAAAAAATACTAAAAAAAGTAAATGAGCTAGAATACATCGTAGTTATAATAATGAAAGACCAATAGCCAACACTCACGGGATCCATATAAAGGGTCTAACTATGACGTATGAATCAAATTAATCCGACGTCTCGATGTACTAAAATCATACATTGAATCTTGTCCCTTTCACAAAAAGAGAGCATTCAAAATATGGTATTTATACGGCTTACGAATAGGTGTATAAGGTTTGCTTGCGCGCGTGCCAAGCCGCAGTGCGCGTGATAAACTACTCGATCGCGCCTTTTAAATGACCTCCTGATCCCCGCTCGTGACAAATCGTTCGCTTCGCATATAATGCACTTTCACGCCATATAACATCGCACAATAGACATAATAATGGTAGTACTAATATCTGCGATCTGTATACAGGCGAGAGAGAGTTTAGCGCGTCAACCCCACTCGTTATGTACGTCGCTTCTGCTGCTGCTGCTGCTGCCGCTGTTGCTGGCTACCCCTCCACGCGCCAACTATATTATGACCACTGATGTTGGTTAAAATGACCTGTTATGTCACGCACAAAGTCAAATATTAAGCTCTCGTATGCGTGTGTGTATATACGCGCACGAGCTCGTACCTTTTCCCTCTTTTTGAAAGTACACGCGCACACATAACAGAGCTAGTCAACATTGCCATTTTCGGGCGGGGTATTATATTCATAGGATATTTTCACGGAAAAACATCGTAAAAGTTTTGTCAGTCTGCATGATATACTACCGAAACGATCTCGTCCCAAACGGCATATATTACTCCATTCCATTCACGCACATTTCATAATATTGCTCGAGGGAGGCAAGTGCGGAGGGGGTGGAAGGATCCTTTCTAATAAATATTGATTTTGAGCGTTGTTCTAAAGGATGTGCTATATACAGCTAGCGCGCGCGCGTCCCGTTTTCGCAAGCTCGAGTTGGCTCAGAGACAATTTATTACCTTTCGGGATCGTGCTCGCGAATATATGCCATCATATGAATTTAATTTAATTTCGACAACGCACATAGTCAGTGCTCTTATACCATTATATTCAAAGTTTGGCTATATTATGAACACCGAATCATTTACGAGAATGGAAGAAATATTAATCCATTTTCCATTTTAATAATTTTGATGATAATGAAACAATCGTAAAAAAATAACTTGGCATTATACAGACGACATGAATTTTAACTCAAATGAAATGGGAAGTATCAACAGTTTTACTTAACTGCATCAACTTTTTTCTTTACTCGACAGAAAAGTCGTATCTCTTAGCTAGGGTCGTTTTCTTCTCAGAAACATACACGAAGCTTCCAATCAAAGCTAGTCCTTTGCTCTCTGTTTCTGTACATATAGATATACAAAAGTGCCGAGAATCATGCAATAGTGGCAGAACAACGAAGGGGCCAGCAAAGTTCCCGAAAGGACATAGTTGGCGAAGGAGCTAGCGAACAACAAAATGCCTTCTATTATGTACCCTCTTATAGCCTTTGCCGCACTGGCTGGCTCGCTGCTTGCCTACATATACCTCTTTCTTTTCCAGGCTATATATGTATACGCGAACCGACCCTCGCGAACTTTGGCGCTTAACAACGACGTTTATTCCATCTTCGATGCGCTAGACTAAATTCGATTCTCTTTTTCATTTATATACCATCCTAGAATATATTCGTTTCCGTCTTTTTTTCGCGCATAAATCCAAGACCTCGACGCTCGGAAAATGTATGAATAGAGATTTACGAGCTTGCAATTGTTTCCCAGACGCACGCGCTTATAGAAGATACAAAGACAATTGCAGCGTGTACGAGGCAGCAGCCAAAGAATAGAGTAAATGAAGCCTCCTAAATTTTCAACACCTTCCGGTTGTCGCTCCTTTCTCGCTCTCGTTCAGCTCGAGCCTCGATGTTTTCGTACTCCCCGTGCCATTCGTCTGCACAGGCGAGCTTTCTGGCTCGGTCGCGAGCACTACATCTCGCGTATATACACGTACATATAGACAGAATATCGCGGGGCGCGTAAGCTCACTCGGCTGCGCGCATCGCTAGTTCAACGCAGACACGGATAGAGACAAACGATGGCCGGGCCAATGAACTGACTCGTAGCTCGGCGAGGGGTAAACTCCGGGGCGTGGCCATCTCTCTCTCATCCGCGCCACGCGAAAGCTCGCGCCAACACAACGGGGGGATGAAAGTTGTTGCCTATCTATATCTCTGCGATATCTCTCTCTCTCTCTGTATTCGTGCGAGAGGAGGGTGAGGGCGCGATGATGCCCCCGGGCTGTAATATCATACCGCTAGGTGGATAAATAGACGCGCTCCGTCGCGTGCTGCTTTTCCTGTTGTGGATGAGCTTTTAATATATATCTATATCTATATGTACACGCAGCAGGCGTACACACCAGTAGCTATATAGTAATGCTGCTGCCACCGCCGCCACTACTGCTACCGCTGCTGCTGCGTTGCGAAAGCTCCCGCTCGATTGTTGACGCTCGAGCTTGTATGTGCCAAGGAAGCCAAAGAGAGGACCGACATTTTAGCGCACACACGCTGATGAAGCCGACAAAGGCCGAGGCATATTAGATACATTTTATACAGATATATAGTCCGCGTAACTCTACGTGTAAGCTTTTCTCCCTCTCTTTCTCGTTCTGTCTCTCTTCCAACTGTACGCGAATGTGTACGTGTGTTCGCACACGTCCTACCAGCTACTCCATAGTTCGACCGAAACTTCTCATGTATTTGCACACGTGACAAATGCATTAAAGCCAGCTCTATTTTCATTATTGTAAAATGTAACACCACACTGAGAAAAAAAATGAGCCTTCAATCGACTGAAAATTTCTTTTGGTGTACATTCGTATATTTTTACCGAAGAATTCAGATCCTTGATCTGAAGCTTTTGAATATTTTTCACATCAAGTACTATACATCAACATCGAAAAATGGAGTTTAAAATGTCATTTAACATTCATGTACTATTGTTTCCCACGTTACCAATTTAAGTATGTATTTCATTTTACTTTATTTATTATTATTATTATTTTTTTTTTTGAAAAGCAGTTTTGATAAGTTATGAATAGATAAAAATAAGGATATCCAAATCGTTGACTACAATTTTAGATGAAAAGCATACTTTTAGAGGAACTCAACATTAGATAAACTTTTTCTCAGATAAATCTGTACATATGATATAGAAAAATTTAAAGCATCATAAAAGACCAAAAACATATGGGTAAAATTCAATAATGCAGTTTTTTTCAACAAATTTTTGTATTTCAGAAGAAAGGTGTATGCCTTACGCACATTGAAGAATTTGACAGAAAAAATAGCATTCAAGTGGCCAAGGTATTTTCAAAAGGCACGAGTAAGCTATTCCAGGTTTTCTAGATAAAGAAAAAAGACCGTTCGGGCTCTCACTTGTACTCTCAGCATTTAAAACAAAGCAAGTGTGCGCAGCAGCAGCTCCGTAAAGCTTCTCTGCAGCAACGAAGACCGCAACGTTTCCCCAGGCCAAGATGACGGCCTTTTGAAAGCCCCGCGCCCCCGTACACGTATGCACAGAAGTTGCCAAAGGTAATAACGGGTAGTTATATGCATCAGCGTGTTTAATTGCCCGCACTGCTATTAGAGGCCTCGACAAACGCAAAATGGGGGAGGAGAGCGAGTCGCGTACGGAGGCGCTCTTGCTTCTCTGTGTACAGTCGCAAACTGCCTCGCGAGGCGTGAGTAATGCACATAAGATGAATAAGATCAAGGCTTTTTTTCTCTGCGTAACAGGGCCTCGAGTCTAACGCACAAACGGACTAACTCTAAATTACTTTTTTTGTTTCATTTTTTGCGAGAACTATACGTCGCACGAGTTTCTGTTTTGCCGATTTGTTTCAAAAACTTGATTATTTCAATAATTAAGCTTTTAATTAATTCATCAAATCACAATCAGAGTAGTCAAATAATCAGAAAATTGTTAAGAAACAGATATTTCAAATTTAAATAATGAAATCATGAATTTTTTGCTAGGCAGAAGCTCCAAGTTTTCTTAGATATTTGCGCCATCTACAGCTGCTAAATCTAAATTTACCCGCATGAAAAACAACCAACCTTATCGACTTGACAAGGATATAATGAGCCTTTTGGCAGTGTAGCACGACTCATCTGATCGAACTTTACACTTTCATTTCATATCAACATCGTGCCAACAAACACAATGAAAACGAAGAGGAAAATCTAAGTTTATTGCATTTGAAAATGCCGTTTAGAGTTCAATAATTCATTTAAAGTATCTTTAAGGATAAGTGTAAACAATCAAGATAGTGTGCTTATCAAATGTTAAAACAACATTCACAAGCATAAAATAAATTTGTTCAAGAGAGCAATGTGACATGTTAAAATGAAACAACTAATTGAATCTTGTTTGTTTTTCTTACTACTGCTATGCATTCCATTAAGCATTGGTGCAGTATACAGCTATGAAATTGACTGCAATAACTTGCGGATGGGACAATATATTTGTCCACATCCACATTACGACTTCATAGATCCTAAAACGCAACAACCTAAAGGATGTACCAAAGCGAACAAAGCCAAAGGTAAGACTAGCTATTTTAAATATAATGTACATTACTTAAACATAACCTGTAACTGTAAACATAATTTCAAACAAAATATTTCAAATATAAACTTCTATATTCTTATCCATATTTCAATTTTATTCATTAATCAAAAATATTTTATCAGTATTATGCCAAGCTGCCGAGGGTCTGAAATGCAGTGAAACTCTAAATGATACCTTCAAAAAAGACATACCTTGTAAATGGACGTAAGTAGTATCTTCTCTTCTAAAATGTATTATTTTATATATCGTCAATTCATAAATCAATTTTAATTTTGCAGTAATGGCTATTCGTTTGAAACATCACTATTGCTATCAATATTTTTAGGAATGTTTGGCATCGATAGATTTTACTTGGGATATCCAGCAATAGGCTTACTCAAATTAAGTACTTTAGGATTTCTTTTTTTAGGACAGTTTTGTGATGTAATATTAATAGCAACTCAAATTGTTGGACCCGCTGATGGTTCACATTATATAATGCCTTATTATGGAGCTGGAGTGACAATAGTGAGAAGTGATAATTTTACATACAGAGTACCTCAACCTGATTGGTGACATGAAATGTATTTTTAAGTTTTTATAATTTTTTACTTTGGTCAAAAAACTTAACTTTTTGAATTAAGCTTGATGTAAAAATGGAAAGAAGTTTGTGTTAAAGATATTCTTATAAAAAGATTGTGAAAATGAAAAGTATATTAAGATAAACAGTTTATGAGTATTCTTCTAAGAATATCCATCAATATTATTATATGATTTTTTACAGTGCTATAAATGTTTTATTACAGTTATGCTAGCGCAATTTTTCTCAAATGTAAATAATTATTGTTATAAATAAATCAATCATATCATTAACTCGCATTAATTTTCAAATGAGTACGCAATATTGAAAGTGACATTACCTGATAAGAAAATAATTGCAAACCTCTTCAAAAAATTGTTTAGAAGACAAAAATGAATAACCATGATTATGAACATTACAATTACAATTTAATAAATAATTGCAAGAATTTTTAAAATAATTATAATTTGGTTATGAATAATTTTAATATTAAAAATACTCACTTATGAAAAGCGTCTCATGAAAATTTGAAAGCGACGTTCCATCCATTGTTTAACCTTATTCAATACACAAGAGCTACTTTCTACTCTATTCAAGTGTGTATAAGAATGATCTCTTGAAGGGTCAACTGTATTGCAAAAAAATTGAAAGACACTTAACGTTAACACCTAAAAGTGCAGCGAAACGCCGCCAACTCGATACACTATTAACAGTCACGAAAAATGTCAGCGACCGTTACACCGGTAAAAGGTACACGAAAAACCTACAGCTTCGCCGAACGCGAGCTCTTAGTGAATCTCATCTACAAATATCTGATCAACAACAGCGAAGAAGAGAGAAATGATAATTCCGATGCAGCTCCGTCCACGTCGGGCACATCGGCCACCGTCAAGCGCAAGTCCCTGTGGGCGCAACTGACCGATGAATACAATTCGCAAGTCGGTGCAGAAAATACGAGATCCTGCATACAATTGCGTCGCTGCTGGGAGAATATGAAAACTCATCAGAAAAAATATCGCGAAGAAGAGAGTAAAAAGTTAGTGCAAAGTTATGAATCGTGCGATTCGGTGGTTTTTTTTCTATTACATGCAATACAGTTCTAACGTTCGTTTTTTTTAATGATCGTTCGCAGAGCCGCGGAAAAAAGCACATCGTCACAGGCGACGGCGACCGATTGTACAACGTCGCAACCGTCTGCTGTTGGCGGTACAAATTCATCCCTCAACGGTGTTGCACTGAGTCAACCGAGTGATTCTTCCGTCCCGGTCCCAATGAAGCTCCTGATAGAGTCGCAAGATGGGTTGGAGACGGATGATACGAAAAATGGTAATGCATTTCTTTTATTTTTCTATACAAAATTTTATTAATTTAATACAAAATGATACACTTCAAATAAGGCATACATTTTCATAAAGTACACTTTAAGACATAATTAATAACCTCAATTGCAAACAATCGTTTGTAGTTTCGTCAAATTCAATATTGTCGCATTCTCTTTCTAGACTTGTTAAAAATCGAAGATGAGAAACAAATGCTGGACGAAACGGCCGACGAAGAGCTCGAGTCTTTTCGGATGAAATACGCGCACAAGAGAAAATTCGTCTCGCCGAAATCCAAAATCCCGCAGAAGCAGCCGAAAATTCAAAAGGCTTACAAGACGAAAAAGAGCAATAACGAGATGCACGAGTACACGATGTCGGAGGCACAGTTGAAGCTCGATACCGCGGCTATACTAAAGGAGGAGGCTAAATTGAGACTCGAGGAAGCGGAATACAAAAAAGAGGAGGCGAAAATGCGAATGATCTGTGCCTCGTACAAATTGCAAAAATTAAGGGAAGAGTATGAAAGCGCGATAGAGGCTGATTAGTGTATATTTTCGAAATTTCTTCTGTAAGGGCGTTGCCTTAATTGTCGTACTGTTATTTATTTATTGAGTTTATTTGTGCCACGATATTTATGAATTATTTATTAAACATTATTATTAAATGTAATATAATACGTTATAAAATACATGACATAATGCCCGAAAAGGCTAACAAATACAAAAAAGATATCTATAATTGTTTACAATTTACAAATGCATAGTTATAGCAAAACATGGATTACCATGCTTGTCTTTATTACTCTAATAATTAAAAGTAGGATTGAAAAACAGTTTAATGAGTAATACAGGCTTAGAAACGAATATTATTCAATAAATATTTTGTCTGTGTTCTTAAGTAAACATATTCTTCAAAATAATAATTATTATAATGGTAAGTATTTGATTATGTAACTATACTAAAATTTACAAAAAATTATTGCATATCCAAAATGTCATATTGCATCTCGTTTAAAATATTGCATTTGATCGAAAGCAATAAACATTCGATCGATACTCTCAGATGAAATCAGGAAGATAACATGCACTCTATTCATGTTGAGAAAAATTACACATTCATTAAGTTATCTAAGAAACTTAAAAAAATCACATCGTGTTTGGATTTTCGCTCCGTGAGTCTTCTTTAGCACTAGTGTTACCATTACGGCCTCGGGTGGTTTTTTTCACCGGTACCTCGAAAAGCGACGGATCGGTATAGATCGGTTCGCTCGGGTCAACGATCGATCGACGGCTGCCCGATGCTCCGGCCAAAGTGGTAGTCGACAAGGTGCGCTGGCCCATCATCTGGCCCAGCGATCTCAGCGGGCTAATTGTTTTTAAAAGTGAAAATCAAAATCGCTGATTATTTATAAGGTGATCGGTATCCGAGCAAGGCTTTATGAAAAATCATGCAAGACTTACGACGAGCCGCTGGGACTCGGACGGAGACCCGTTCGTAGGAATGAAAAATTATTGCTCCGCGTGCTGTATAGGTCTTCGGAATTCCTACTATGATTCGATAATCTATCAACTTTTTTATTCTTTACTATCACACAGTGCACGTATTTCCTAAAAAATGTTTAGCGTAAAATTTATACCCACTATTAACAATTTTTCAATGAGTAAGAGGCATGAACATTGGAGTACCTGTAAATTATTATCGTCAGCAACACTATCGATATCAATAGGGAGACAAGAACTACTACAGCAACTATAAGTCCGTAATATTCATTAGGAGTAATGCAAACAGTGTTGACGACAGGTGAAATGTGTTTTTCAGCAACAGTATCGACCTCGGCTACGTCATTGATTGAATTTTCTATATCGAATCTTGAATCCAGGACCTGTAAATAATATTTCAATGAATGGCGTTGAATCGACAAATGCTGGTGAAATAATAATCATTAGCACAAAAATTACTTCTATCATTTCTTGAACGAATTCCTGCTCTTCGTCGTCTTTTTTGTCCTCGGTATCAGTTCCATTACCGCTGCCTTCGCCCTCGTAAAGTTCGGTTGTGCTACTAAAGTCAGTTGAGTTGCCGCCACTATCTTCACCTTCTATGGATCGCTTCTTTCGTCCGTAAGACGGTTCGCTTCTACCTGCGGCCGACGAGCAGAAAGCCGGTTGACAGCCATCTCTGCAGGTACGAACCGTCGCCTCGAATACCAAGAAATTCGATTCAGGAATCTTGAAGGCGTTGAAACGTGCCTCGAGGCTATCACCTTCTCTCAGTCGGTCCAAGCCAGGGAATACGTAATTATCAACCGGGCACCTGTTGTCAATTGAATTAGATGAATGCATAGAATCACGTCACTCCAGGATCATAATTGTAAAGGCGACTTACCCGTATCGGTCGATTAATTGAACGCTACGGCCAGAATAAGGATCGCGAGCAACAACATTCGTGGCGAAGATGTCTGCTGGGTAGCTATAACTGTAAGAATAAAAATCAAAATCGTAAGCAATTTTATTCATTTTATTTTATTTTTCTAATGCTTTATCAAATTCACTTACCCATCTTGAGCTTCCAATCTAAATGTCAATGGATCTCCAACGGCAATGGTAGTTGTGGGTCGTCCTTGATAAAGAATCAGCAATCTTATACGTGAGCTCAGGGTGTTTTCTGCTGGAAGATATTCTATCGGTATCGGAGAGCCGGATCTGCTAAAAAATGAGCGACTATGTAAGATAATTCTTTATTAATTAAACATTTAAAGTTAAAATCAAATTCATTTAATGGATACCCAGCGCCAATGTATCCCGAGGTTACAACAGCTTCATCTGGACCTCTGAACAAGCAAGTCAAATTGAATCTTTTATCCCTGCCAGTTTGCACGTAGTCGGAAAATTGTACCACTACGATGTTGGTCATTGTATCGCCGTACTAAAGCCAAGATCAAATATTGTATTCAAAAATCTTCGGTAAACAATGTTTTACGGTGAATAAAACTTACTCTTTGAGTTCCACACTCTGGATAACCTTGGGCTCCACTTATTCTCAAGACATTAACGGTGCCACCATTTCCTCTGAAGAAGCATCGATCGTAGTACCCGTACGTATATATTCTGCCGATGAAGCCTTCGGGTGTTCTTAGTGTAAATTCCATACCATCTTCGTTGCAGACTTGACTTACTGCAAATAAATGTAATTTTTCAACTGTAAGATTCATTCATTTAATTTAATCGAGTGCATTTCCCTTACCATCGAGACACTCGTCACCTCCTTGTCTTCCATTATTCCTTTCGTAAAAGTCATAATCCGAGCTCGTATCGTAGTAAATTGGATTACCCATATCCATGTCTCTAGAATCTCTGTCACTCAATTCACAATTGTCTCTCTCGGCACCGAATAGCGCCGCGTAGGGCCTGAAGTTGAACGACCTGCAGACGAAATCTCGGGCGTCGGCGCATTCGCGCTCGCACTGTTGCAAGGACGACGCGGTCGTGTAGCGCCTAACGAACGGTTTGCGCACGCGAGTGCCCTGGCCGACTTGTCGGAAATTTTCTTGTTCATCGCACCGCGAGACCAGGGGCGGTCGGCCTATTATGGGCCCTCCTGTATTTCCGAAAGGACGAGTTTGATAAACGCCTCCTTCGCCTATGTAACCCCCTCCGACGATGGATCCATCGTCGTAAGCATTCGTCCCTAAGGCATTTCCGCCGACCGGTGGTCGTGGTCCGTAGGGACTGCTGCCACTTAGAATTGGATGAATCGGACGTTCCCCGTATTCTTTACCCGTATACCCTCCTGGATACCTAAGCGCCCAAAAATAGTTTAGTGTGTTTAAAATTAAATAAGGTCAACGTGGGTATTTTCGCTCATGTCTCTATATTCGCTCAATAATTTAATATTAAAAATCTAATTTAACACAAAATTTTTTTTTTAAATTGATCGTATTGAGCTGAGCATGTTTAACATAAATTTATTATTTAAATAATGGTATTAAGTTTTGATTTCATGTAAAAATTGAATTCAAAGTTGAGCGAAAATAGGGGCTTAGCTGAGCGAAAATACCCACATTGACCTTATATTAATGGCTCACATAACATGAAAGCTTCCCGTGAAATCTTTTAAGAAAGTTTTCCATGAAAGATTCCAGAAAGTTTCCAGAAAGTTTTTTTTAGCTTCCCAGCAGCATACAGGAAAAGCTTTCATTAAATCTTTTCGGAAGTTTCCCGAAAGGTTGCAAGAAAGATTTCATAGAATATTTTTTGAAGGTTTCATCAAAACGTTTGGGAAGTTTCCCTAATCCTTCCCGGGATGCTTCCATCAAACCATTATAGAAGCATCAATAAAAGCTTGAAGAAAGCTTTACGGAAACTTGTGAGGAAATTTCAGGATGCTTTTTAGAAAGTTTTCATGGATTCTTTTGCAAAGTTTTCTGAGAGGTTACAAAAAATGTTTCTCAAATTATTTTTTGAAAGTTTCATTTAAAATTTCAGGAAGCTTCCCTAATCTTTCCAGGGATGCTTCCATGAAACTATTCTAAAAGCATCAATAAAAGCTTGAAGGAAGCTTCACGGAAACTTTCGAGAAACTTTCAGGAAACTTTCCAGAAATATTCCATGAAAACTTCCATGAAAACTTGAAAGTTTTCTGAAAGGTTGCGAGGATGGATTCATAAGTGAGCGTTTCATTGAAGCTTTCAGGAAAATTTCCTAGAAATTTTTATGAAAGTTTTCTGAAAGGTTATTTCGAAAGTTTCAGTGAAACTTTCAAAAAGCTTCCTAGATACTTCCGAGCAAGTTTTTAGCTTCATAAATCGCCAACAGGTGGCATATATACATAAATTTATCGAACTCACTAGTAGATAACAGGAAATTTTTATACAAGTACTCCTCTCCTTCTTGATTGCTAATTTGTAAACTGTTATATATTCGTATAATTTTCTAAAGTTCTTTTGACGAATACTCAGTTATTCGAGGATATGTTAATTTGTGAACTTTAGGATAAATTAATTATCTCATTCGTGATTATCAACCTCCGCTTCGCCTCGGATAATAAATTACACGTGATCTGAGACTTTCCAGTTTTTTACTCCCTAGGTGCAAAATATACTATTTAAAACCCTTTTAAATGACTTTCAAGAAAGGTCTCTGAAAATTTTCATGAAATCTCTTAGGAATCTTTCATGAAAGCTTTCTGTGATAATTTGAGTGCGGACATTTTCTGCGAAAAAACCTTACCAAAAAACTTACGAGAATTAGTTCAGGAAACTTTCAAGAAAGCTCTCTGGAAATTTCCATGATATCTCTCAGGAAACTTTCAAGAAAGTTTTCTGAGACCATTTGGTCACGGACATTTTCAGCTTCTTGAAAGCTTCCATGAACGCTTCCTGGTAGATTCCAAAACTTTCTTGGAAACTTCCGAAATGCTTTCAAGAAGCTTTCATGCTATGTGGGGGGATTCATGCTCGTACCTGGAATCACCATACGGATAGTTGACATCTTTATCAGGATATCTGTCTGGTATTCTGTTTCCCTCTATTCCAGTTGGATATCGATCTGCCGAGTCCTCCGGCAAAGGATATCTATCCAAGGGTGATCCAACAGGTGGTTGTGGATATCTGTCGTCCGCTGGAGGAAATCCAGTTGATCCAACAGGGAATCGTTGAGATGGAAGGGATGGATATTTGTGAATGACCGCCGGAAAACGACTTCCCATTCCAGGTCTAACTTGAGGTGGTGGTGGTGATTGAGGCCTCATCGGATACCGTCCCCTCATCGGGTAACGCTCGTCGGTGTTCGGGTAGCGATCCATGGGGTAGCGATCCATGGGGTAACGATCGGGATAGCGATCAGGATAACGATCGTGGACTGGTGGGTAACGATCCATTGGATGTCGATTCGGAGGTGGTGGATACCTGTCCCCTCCTGAGTATCGATCGTCTGGGTAGCGATCGGGACCCGCTGGTGGATAGTATGGTCTCGAAGGATGACGATCGTCGTTGGGATAGTAATTGGGGTAAGGGTACCGGTTGCCTGGAATTGGATATCGGTCGGGATAGCGATCACCCCCTTTACTGTTTCCTGTTGGATATCCTGGATCGTCTGGATAGCCTGAAGGAAGAAAAATACTCGGTTAGCTCTTTTTCGAGTCGATAAAACTCGAGCGCGATCTATGAGTATGCATTACCTGGTCGTCCCAAAAACGGTCGACCGTGTTTCGTATCTTGACCCAGCGGATCAGGTCTCGATCCCGAACCTCCATCACCGTCTAAGTATTGATCTGAGATGTTTAAATATACCAATGCAACTTATTTATAATAATGCTAAACTCTACGTTTTTATTAAATTTTTTTGGGCATTTCAAAAATGTCCAAAACTTACGCATCAAGTTTTCATAATAATCGTAGTCAGCATCATAGATAATTCTGTGGCCGTCCTTCTGATTGAAACGACTCAACCTGCAGGTTCTGTAGTGCTCCGAGTAGACAGCCGATCTACACTGGAAACTCGTCTGTCTCAGACACTCGTCTAGGCACTCGCTCAAACTCCTGCCGGTAATCTCCGAATGGAACTCGCCACTTAGTCGCGAGTTTCGAAAACGTTGAAAGGCCGTGTCGGGACGGCGACCGTCGGAAAACAAATGCGACGAGACACTATTGTCCGGATACTCGGAGCCTCGTGCTATAGACGGATCTGGGTTTCGTAAGCGAGTTTTGTTACGCCAGGCTCGTTATTTACACTTTTTACATGTTTTTCATTGTATATATAGTATTTACATTCGATGCGTTAGATGCTTGTGCTTCGAGCCGGCTTATTACGGTTTTGTGGTTATATGCTTCAGTGCCGCTAAGCTTGCATTGTGATATGAAGAGAAGAAAGATTGATGCAAAAAAGTGTAACTCCAATGAAACGAAAAGAGCGTGCAATAATAACAAAAGAAGATACCTGATAAGAAACAATTGAGTCGACGTTGGGTCACGCATTCCGTTGTGTTTTAAATTCATTACATCAAGTGGTAGGAAAAGTAGTTGCTAGTGTGCCAGGACATCGTATTACTTTCCACCTGGCGTTATCTCAGTTTATTTTTTGCAATAACGGCAAGTTGTTGGTGAAAAATAACGTCAAAAAGTGCATAAGGCTTTTTCAAACAGCATATTAAGTTTAGATTGTCTACAGCTGTTAAGTCGGCTAAAGTGCGTGGGCGCAAATGTAATAATAATTTCGAAATAAAGCGTGCAAAAGTTTGATAAGTTTCAAAATGATAAAGAACTTTTATCAAGAAATTGAATTTGTGATTGGTGGAAATGAAAAGTAGAAAAAATGTGTCAATAGTAAAATGAAGCGAAAAGCATAATGAAAAAAAATGAAAATTAACTCACGGTTGTCCAAGCAAACTAGATCGTAAAAGTGATAACTGGGACTGCTGCTGATGCCAATATCATCTCTTTGCGAGACCGAGTCCTCCTCAGATATGACGCACTGGCGGGTTTGCTCGTCGTACTCGACGCTCCGACAGAAGTACTTTTCTGCCCTCAAGCAAAGCGCTTGACACTCGTCGAGGGTCAAATTCGTATAAATGTCCACTTCAAACGGACCGCGCAGACGTTTGTTCTCTTCTTTTATAAATACTGCCAAGCCGTCGCAGCGATGCTCGGCTTGAGGTGAAACAGAAAAATACTTTCGTTCATATTTTGATGCTCTTTAATTGCCAGCGAGCTATTTGTATTACCGTTCAAACACGTGTTTTCTAAATATTCCGAATTCGCGCTGTCCTCGAGTAGATCAGGGTGAGTTCTTCTTGTAAAACGACTCAATTGGCAGCTTCGCTGAGAAACATCGTAAGTAGCTGAACGACAAACGAAACTATACTCGTTGAGACATCTAAAAACAGAAATACGTGTTGGAGAATATCATACTGAATTAAGCTATATGTAGTTTCATAAATTTTACCGATCTTCGCATTCGGTTCTATTAGCTGCTGTGACTTCCTTGATGTCGGTCGCTGGCAATTTCAATTTTTTTCGCGAATGTCTCTCGAAAGCGTAACGTCTGTTAGGACATTCCCTCTCTATTCGACTCGCTAGAAAAAATAAAATAATTCATCGAAGTCAAAAACGCGTAAAAATTTCGAAAAAATCCATTTCTATTCTAAAAATATCGGGGCAGCTGCTTCGTTATGCGTAGTGACGCCTGCGGAAAATTCGAGTATCGGCAATAGGCTCGCGCGCGTACGTAATGAGTTACGAGGCATCGACGCGTGACCCAGCGTGTGCACTCGCGCCTTTCATGAGCACGTTCGTACATTACATTACGACTGCCCTTCGTTTGGCCTTTGTCGATAGTCCGTGTACTCTCCTGCGCCCGAGTTTGTGTGTTTTGTTAGTGAAAAATATGAATTCGTTAATTTGGTTGAAATTCACCGGATGCGGATTGACCCATAAAAATCTCCACAAAACAGGATAATTGCCCGCGGATTACTTCATCGCCGCAAAATTTGAATGATTATTATCAATACATTGTGACGATGCTCGCGCGTATACAAAGCCGAGAGAAATATTATTTTCAGGACTGGATTAATTGACCGAACGCACGAGTCAGTGGATTATCAAACAATGGCTTTTTCAAATTGCACGCGCAATTCGAAATAACAGCAGTTACGATGAGAAATACGTGTGGCTCAGCGGAAACGAGAAAAAAAATCGCGTGGATGATTTGAATGGTCATATTGCTGATACAAGTATTTCATAAGAGCAGAACAAAGGTGTCTTTAAATTCAATCTGATTTGATGAACTATACGGCAAATATTTTTGTTTCCCCTCGACAATAACGATTTTATGCGCTAATAAAGAGAAAAAAAGAAGTTGAAAAGAAGCAGCTCACAAGTCAGGCATATCTCGGTGAAGTGAACGCTGTTGGGTACCATCATCAAATTGCCGATGCCCTCGGGTTGGGCTTGCTCGGAGCTCAAGTAACACGTGCTCTCCTCGTACTCGGCCGCGCCGCTGAACGACGCTATCCTGCTGCCGGGCTGAAAGTCGAAACTCGCGCAAGCTCGCACCAAATTGTTCGTCGCCGTTCTGTCGCGCAAACAAAGCTCTTGGCACTTCTCCAACACCCGAAAGGGTGGTGCCGAATCTCTCACCTGTAAAGCGCAGAAAAGTAAAATGCTTGGAATCGTACATGCTCTGAAAAAATAGGGGTTCATCGATGTAGCGCGCGAACTTACCACTTCGTCGTCGAACCCTTGCAGTTGTTGGTCCGGTAGCCTTTCGTAAACCACTCGACCCGCGCCCCCGTTGCACGTCGTCTGTGCTGTAAGCATCAAAAGTATGAAATTTTATCGAACCTGCTCTCGTGCGAGTGTCCGGCAAACGTCGATGGATCGAAACTAACCATTGGCGAGCATTTTCAAAACCGTGAGAACAGTAATAGCTTGGACCATGCTGAACATATTATGGATCCTTCTCATTTTGAATTCTGATAACGGGTATCATCAAGTAGTCATGTCACTCGCAGTGGGACTGAAATGCATGATAATGTAATTCAAGTTTATACTCCGTGCAATAATTGAACAATGAAGTCTGCTATTCATTAAATGAACTTTTTCAGACGAATGACACACTTTGATTTCTATCTAAACGTCGAACTGCTTTTGTGAGGCCTCTGACAATTGTGCGCGCGTTTGTATTTATTCCAACATAGCTTATGCGTGCATCAAATGAACTTTGATTCATTTTGTAAAAATAACAGTTGAATGAATTTGAATAAGTGTGGAAATCGGGTTTTTTCTAACTCATCTCAATAGAATCGTCAAAATATGCTACGTTTTGTGACTTATTAAACCTTAGCTCGTTTAGCGTACTAAAAGATAAATAAAAATTAAACTTTTCATTTAGAATTTTAAATATCACAGCTCTATCAAATATTAGAAATAATTGAAATCAAGCCCTTCATAACATTTATTCATGTAAAAATTAACCTTTTTTATTTTATTCAAAAATATTTTCATGTAATTTTAAGAAATTTTGTAAATATTTAAAAATTGCTGTACTCTTTTTAAATGTCACTCTTATTTTTCAAATGCAAATATGAGAAGTAGGTGATTAATATTATTATTATGAGCTTACCATGACTTAGAGATCCTGAAAATCGAATACGAAATTCGTCGTATCATTTTGAGATCAGATGTTTCAAAATTCAATATTTTCTTTGATCGAACTTGTCACACACTCTTGTGCATGAAATCTTATATCAGAAAAATAGTGATCAAGCGTTATAAACAATTTTAAAAACAATCGGACAGCAACTACGCGCTTGTGAACGTTCACCGAGCTGATTTCAAAGTTGACTGTGCATGTGTGTCGCGACACGAAGTGCGAATTGAAGGGACTTTGAAAAACTCGCCGTGACACACAGACATTCGATGCCCCCATCCGATGCTGCTGGATTAATATAGTGCTATGCACACGCGTATGAAGCAAAAAAAATGGTGTTATACTTCCGCTGCTGAATAATGAGGTGTAGTGCTATTTTACAGCGACATTCCGGAATTTCTCTTTTGCTCGTAAAATGTTTGGGTATTGGATTTTCATCAATGTGCGCGCAAAGTACTGAGTCAATGTTCAATGTAACGAGGTACTAGGTCATTATCACTCGAAAAATTATTCGTAAATTTCAAATAAATTTGATTGACGTTTGTACCGAAAAATTCAATTGAAAAATATCTTAACCTTTTAAATTGGAATTATTTCAAAATAACAAAAGTTACTCTAAATGAACACGATTTTTATAAGAAAAATAAAGAACCAATATTGAAATTAACGAAAATATATTTTATATTAGAATATTGTTGATTTAGATACTCATGTTAAAAAAATGCTTGAAAAATACAAAATTATAGTGTATTGAGAACAATAAGGCAAGCGCGTTAAAAATTCTTCGCACTTTCATTCTTTCTTCGGGTAAGCTTTAGTTTAAAAGTTACCGCTAGTTGGCATGTAAACAAAATTCTCGAAAACTTCAAGAGAAATCGTAAAGCTGTTATAATAAAGTATCAATTTCTTTACGAATCGGATGAATTGTGTTGGAAATATATATTTATAACACCGATTTTAGAGCGTTGTACCTGAATCTTTAAATTAAAAAGTGTGCTTCGATTTCAATGCAAGTACTTCAAATGATTATAGTATTATGAATATTACGTCATTGAATTTGAAATTATATTCGATTAAAAATGCTTTAAAATCATTCTTAACAAATTAAAATGACGAAAAAATACAATGATTTAAATTTTCTATACTTATAAGCTCACATAAAGATAAACGTTATAATTTTAATGTACTTATTATTAATATTAATTATTGACGGGTTGTAAAATTTAAGATTTATTGGTAAATTGCATTAGAGTCCGGTTTTGAAAAATTCTTTAGTATTTTATTTGATTATTCAAGATGAAAATTTTTGCATCAATTAATTAAGCTTATATTTTACGTATCCATAGAAATTCGATGGAAAAAAACTCTACCACAAAATGTGTTGTATAAAAAAACGTTTACTTAAGTAATACACTAAAAGAAATTTAAGGCTATTATACTCTCGCTTGCGGTCACGAAATGTAACGCGGTGTGGTAGCGCGCTATCGCCCGAGATGTCGGTATCGTTTTCATCCCAACTGGGAGGATTTCGCGCTCAAAATAAGAACAGAACTTGTTTTAGATGTTTGGGTGCGAATCTTACCTAAAATTGAGCATTAACACCAATACAGTGATTAATTCTCCCCGTACTACATAGGGGCTTTATACGACTTGAGTGGGAATTAAACACACCCAATTTTTTTTCAGTGCATGTGTCAGTTTTAATGATTGAAATTGCTGAATGCTTGTATTTAATTTACAATTTCTAAGAAATCGACTTTAAGAAAAAATTTAAAATCACGAGAAACGTTTTCAAACAATTTTTAGTGTACAAAAAATGCTTAATCGATAATAAAAGCGGTAGAAGTAAAGTAAAATTTATTTTTACAGTTTTTCAAGTTTTTATTCGTTGAGTTGTATCTCTTAAAAATTTCAATCAAAGGAAAGGCTACAGAAAACTCTCATTAAAATGAAATAGCGTGGAAATATCAAAACTAAAAGTAAGTTTCTATATTCACCCCAAAGTGTCAAAGAGATATACTTTGTTTCAAAAAGATATGAAATGTCAACATTTTTCTTGTTGTTAATAAAAATAATCTAATACGATGTAAAAAATGACAAAAATGCAAGCACGTAGCGCAATTAAAGTCGGTAATTAAAGACGCAAGAAAAAGCGACCGCGAAGGTTGACACGGTAATTTCCGAAGAAATATCGCGTACACAAAATTACCAGTGTATATACGACGGGCTGGCGGGTAGGTAAAAGTCAGGCGAACAGGCGTATAATATAAAAGTAAATCATATCGCGTCGGCACGCGCTCGGGCCAAAGTAAAGGGTCGGGGCCACGGTTGCGCCACTCGTCGGCAGACGTGGAACTGTCGCGCGCGCGGCTCTCCACACAGGTGCATACATATAACTCATTATAATACGCCTGTTATATGCGTATTTTATATATATGTGTGTGTATGTGCGCGCGCGCGACCAAGTATTCCGCACGCGGCTGCGATAACAGCTTGAGATAATAGGATCCCCGTGCGTATTGCTCCTATATATACATAACGCGTGTACGTGCGTCGTACATAATGCGAATCGCGCATAGCGACTGGGAAGTTGGAACTACGCTCGGCTGGCTCGGGCGCGCGGCGGGTGTGCGTGTAGTAGTAGCGTTGACGCGGACCTCAGGACTGCGAGTGTCCAATGTCCAGCCAGAGTCGCCTCTCGTTCGCGTTGCAGCGGTGCGACAAAGAAAGAGATGGATGGAGTCACGGTTCAGGGTGAGCGAGCGGCAGGAATCTCGCCGCGCCATACTAGCGCGCGAGCTTTTCTCTCTCTCTCTCGGTGCACTCGTCGAGTCTGCACTTGCGCGATCGTAGTTCGTACTACGTGCGCTTACGCGAGCTGCGCTGCCCTTCCTGCGGGATCGTTCGGGATTCGTGTGGATGTGCAGATATGTTCCGCGCGTCCCTTCGATACGAATCTTTCAAGTTTCATCCCGTCGCGTAGGAGCGAGGCCATACACGAGCACGTAAGAGCGCGCGATGATCGCGAACGACTCCGAGAGTTGCGAAAGCCGACTGCAGCGCATGAGGCATTCGAGCGCGCGGGCAAAATAAAAAAACACGTAAGCACAGGCGTGGACAAAGGGACCCGCGTATACTCGCCGCGTTATGTCTGCATGCATGGTTAATGAGCTATACCTATAAGCGTCTGGTGCATGTGTGCATGCGTTTTATCGGCCTTTTACCTTTGTTCTTGCGCTCTTTCACTGTCTCATTTTCTATCGCGCTTATTGCGAATCGCTTGCTATGATGTGCAACTCGAGCTATCGGTGAATAACCCCCCGACGCGCAATTTTACTTCGAAGGACGGATTTGGCAAATAAGTCAATTGTTCTTTTAATGCTCGCCGAGGGTCTGATCACAATGAAAGATGGTCGATTTGCAAGTGCTGATTATTATCTGAAGCGAATGAATTTACTGTGAACAATTGGGCGATTTTTTTCATAATTTGTATACAATGGTATAATTTTTACAAAGCTTGAATAATTTATGCACAAGGATTTGAAATGATGAGCAAAGACTTCATACGTTTCAACAGAATTATGCTAATATCAAATTAAAAATCGAGTGTTACAGTTCAAAGTGGCAAAATTATAGGTATTGAAAATTATCAGAATTTACTGTTAAAAAAATATGACTAATTGTCCAATTTTTTAATTTTTTACACAACAATTTTTATTACCATTTTACAAAACGGCACCCTGAAGTTTTAGGTGAAGAATAATACCATTGACCATCCGTAGCAGGTGTAGGTAATAACTGATTATAGGTTTATACATGCGGTTATGATGCTTACAATTGAATAACTGGCAAACATTAGAACAATAGTGACAATTTACTCGCAGCTTTAATTAAGCCGGTAAAATAATTGAAGCTTTGGCATTGCGCTTTCACGCTGATACGTTCTTTTTCTTTATATATATCTACGACTTTGTACTAAATCAAAGCTCAATCGATCGAGCTTAAAACAGCTTAAGCAGCTCAAATGAGTTATCTACGTTAAAACAAAGGGTCGAACCTTCACTAACGTACCCTAATTTTCAATCAATTTGAACATAAAAAGAATAAACAATTTAAAAAGACAAACGCTCTTACCTGCAAAACCCCTTGTCGCAAGCCGGTGGCATGCAGCGATGCAATTATTTTATTCACACTTATGTCAATGAAACGTACGCCCAAACGATTCAATCGGTTCTCCACTTCTTATCATTGAGTTTCTTCGATTTCCGATTCAGTGTCGTCGAACTTTTTGCCGATTCCTCTCGCTGTTGGGTAAAATTGATCGACCGCACAATTAATAATTTTCAATCGTTCACACCGAATTATAAAAAAAAAAAAAAAGAAAATAGATAAATAATAGTTAAGCGCGATCTCGGTGGTGTAGTCACGCGACCAGCGTGTATAATCGTACTGATCCGAGCCAAAATCGCGAGAAATAACAGGTCCGAGCTTGCACGGTGTAAGCGTTACTAACCATAAGTACAGGTCGCGGGGGGTTACCTCCTCTCTCTCTCGCTCTCGCTCCCTCGAGCCTACACACACACACACACACACGCGCGCACATACATAGGTACATTTTTCAGTGTACACGAACAATCAGGTGGGGTACATGTGCGTATATATAAAAAGTAGCAAGTACAAAATCGCGCTCATGTGCCGCACAAAACTGTCCTTGCCGAGCGGAAGTTGGGCTTCATTGTACTCGAGCCGTTTCCGCGAGCATGTATATCCGGGAAAACACACTAGAGAGAGCAACTCTCCGCGTACTGTGTATATACGCGTGTGTACGTATGCTTATTTATACGCGATTACTTTGCCTATTCTGCGGCTGCATTTATTGGAGTCATTGCTGCTCGTTGCTGTATGGTGTGCGCTCGTATATACAGCGCCTCGCGTCACCTGCGGAATCACGGATTAGAGATTCCCATGCGAACGACGCGCGACGCTCGCAGTGTATCAATTCGCCCGTACGCCTCGATGTCATGGCAATTCAGTCGTGGATTTTCCCGTTACAGATAGGGCCGATATACTGAATTTCCAACTGATCCATGCGACATCTATGTATATAGCAGCTCTGCATCGCATTCGGTCGCCCGTGGGAATGAATATCGATAGATTTTGCGCACTTTTAGCACGAGTCGTGCAAGGGATAGGTATATATATATATAGGCGCACGGAACTCCAGCTTGCACTTCCGCGTTCCAGATCCAGAGCAACGGATAAGAAACTTACCATCTCCGAGCTTCGCCCAGCCTTGGCCGTGTTTATGTTATCGAAAATGCGTCTGGATTTGGCATGCATTTCGACTACTCCCTAGATAATTGCCCAACTTTTCCGAGTAATTCGGGCTCGAATAATTTAGTCTGCTCTTTATCTCGAGAGCACAACTAAACTCTCGTTCGAGTCGTTTGGTAATACAATTAAAAATAACTGAATTTCGTTCGCTTCTACTGATAATATTTACCAAGTTTTACGTTCAAAAACTTTCAAGTCCATCGCGCATCAATCAAAAATTCAATTAATCAAAGTTGTTGTGTCGCGATATAATTACTCCTGTATGAATCCAAAACTTCTACATCCCATTTCCCTCTCTCGCTGTCTTCCGTCTTGGGATTTGTTGCCATCAAGATTAATCATCGTCCGCATCTCTCGAGTAATTACTTATGTTTTATCGTTATAAATCTGCGACGTTTCCATGCGCACTTTGGTCAATACGCGATTCTTAATGCAGCAGAGAAATGACCATTGTGAGAATAACCATGAAAGAACAGAAATATTTCGCAATAGTTGCATCGGGTGCAGACAACGAGCTATCACACACACAAAAGACGGAAACGATAAATTTTCATAACGTTATGACGAATGTTCAAAGCTGCATAAGTGTAATAAGTATTTGAAAAAAAGGACGTAATGAGCTTACGTTCATCTTGTCGATTTCGATCTTACACCCCATTGAGACGAGTACCTCTCGAGCATCACATTCTATTCATTTTTATATAGCCACATATTTACAAAGGAACTTCTTTATAATAAACCTTTATATTGTAAAGAAAATCCCCGCCCCATCATAATTAAAAACGTCTCTTTGAAGTAATAAAAACTTCAATATAACTAATTCAAAATCTTTAAAACTTGCTGCAACTTCTCAAATAAAATTTTTTGAACTTCCGACCTCTGAATGGATCACTCACGAACTAATCATAATTTCTTTTCATTTACATTATTAATCGATATTTAATACTCGTTAAGTTACTTTACTTTGTTAAAGTAAAATGGATTTACCACCGTAACGAAGAAAATTGTTGGCGTAAATAGATCAGTGACTACCATAGAATTGTCATTTGAATGAAAAGCTTTATTAATATTATTAAGGTGAACATTATAATGTTCTTTATTTTTTTTGTTTCATTTAAACAATTTTTCATTGTTATTAAACCCATCATTTTCCATGAGTAAGGTCTGATTATTTTTTTAACGATTAATTTTTTATACAGAATCGGACGTTATTTTCAGTATAAATTCAAATTTCAAAGAGAAACGAAATTAGCAAACTCAATAGCAACGTGCATGAGATGAGCGCGTCGATGAAGCTATTTATTTGCCAAATATAATTTTCAAAAAAAAGATCAAAACTAAATCTGTCACCCGAACAAATTGACTACCGATTAATTTCATTTAATCTGCCAATTGAAATTCCAAAAATGTGAACATCATCAAGGTGAAATCCATTATGAAGCGTAATCTAAATTACCATCTATGATTTCATCATTATTCTCGATGAATCATTGCTTAACGCAATGAAAGAGAATCCAAATCGATGTTCTACGCCTATAACGCACGAGTAGCTGCTGATAGCAGTGACGAAAATCACGCGATATTACAATCCACATAAGATCGAGCGCCGTCCGTGCGCCGCGAGCTCCCGCCATCTGCTGGTGGCTCGTCTATTCAATCCGCAAAAACGCCTACTACGCATAGTAGGTATACCATACATACTTACGTAGCATCGTATATATCTACGGAGCTGAGCTGTGGCATGCTATATCACATGTTTTCTCTCCGGTGCTCGCAGTCCGCGCATATCTCCGTCTTTGTCGCTCTCGCGTTGGCTCGCGCGCGAGGAGCGTCGACCTGTTTCGCAGCTACTCCGAACTACTGGATAAGTGCATTTTCCGCGCGCGACTGGGACGCCCTCGGCGCTGCGACGTCACGAATTCGCACGCACCATCTCGCAGCAGCAGCACATCATACACACACTTACCTACAGCGCTAAAGTTCGGCTGAGCCGATGTTGTGTTACGCCGTGCACCTGCGAATGGCAGCCAGGCGTTTTTAGCCCAGGGATACTTACACAGGCATACGCGCGCACACACCTACGCTTCGGCGGCTCGAGTGCTGTTCATTTCCTAGTTGCTGTGACTGCTGCCCGTCGCTTCGCTACCTGTCAACTCGACTGTGTAACGTCCGATGATTGCAGCTGCATCATCGCCCGACCGCATGAAAAAGTCTCGTCAACAACGAGTGTCTGTGTACGTGTAAATACTTCATCACCAGTGTTTTTGTCTCGTTTGTTTTGCTTACACATTTCTGCCATAGCGAGTGACGTTTTTGTTGCCTAAACGCGAGCAGCCTACCTACACACACCCGTGTCGCTGCTAATTAGAGAAATCCACTTCCTCGTTCGTGAGTGTTATACGTGTTGATCGAGTAACGCAGGATTTTCCACTTGATGGATTTTCTCGCAATTTTCCCCGCGATCTAGACGCAGAATGAGAGGGAGCATATTCTTATTATTTCTTGTGCTATTGATTTTACTCACTCACTGGCCTCGTTTGCCCATCTATCTACTAACTCCTACTCCTCCTCTCGCAAGACTCGTTTGTAAACATGTGTGTGCGATTCGGTCCATAGACGCGGTGACCCACGACACATTTTCATTTTCATGTCGAGCAAAAAAAACTAACGTCCACAGACAAGTTTTTTTTTGCCTTTTGTCATGCATGTGTTTTATTAACATTATTGCCAATTTTCATGTACGAGTTGTTTAATATTTTTGCATTCATTTTGCAGGATTGCTCGTAGGGACTAAATACCTAAGAGGGCTTTTTATGTAAGGACTTTCAAGAAAACAGCAGCTAAAATGACTTTGAATACTGGTATGTATTTTACTTGCAACTTTTATATGAAATTGTGGTTAATTTATTAAGTATTTATAATTCACAAAAAAATTCACATAATTCATTTCTTGTTAAATCTTGATTGAGTTGAAACAACATTTTTATAATAGTTAACTAATACATAAAAATTTTTAACAATTTGGTGTGCTAATAATGAAATAATGTTTTACAGATATATCGACCGCTCTTCATTTGCTAGAGCATGTTTCAAAAAGAGTGGAGGACTGCGATGATCCAAAATTGCAGTTACATACAAGTCAGGATCTCCAATCGCTCATATCGCTTTTGGAAGATCCTGTGTTTCGAAGCATTGTTACAATTCAAGATTCTTTGGAAGAATTAAATTCTCAGCTTGGACAGCATCCATCTATTTTACCGGGTGACTTTGATATTAATCTAGGAGGGCAGCTAGAGCTTTCAGTTCCTACTACTCCTGTTCAACCAGTCGGACAAGCAATGTATCAAAATTTGTATCAAGATTCGAGTGAAGTTGAAGATCAAAGAGTTCCAGTTGCTCCTTTACTGCACAGCAGTAGCGAAGAGACAAATGCTCCGGTAGTTAATTTTTTCGTACCAATAAAATTCAATAATGTTCCATTACTTTAGTTTGCTTTTAACCATAATATATTATATAAATTGTTTGATATTTTTCATACTTTAATACAAATACATTTGTAGGTAACAAGTCCTAACTTAACGTCTGAAGTGATAGGAATGCCACCTATCATGACTCCAACATATGCAAAAGAGTTCCAGAAAGTTATAGAAACAGCAGCTAAAGGACGTCAAATTGTCACTGTTCAGGTAATTCAGATTTTACACCAATATTTTGAATTAAATAGATTTTCACATTGAATATTAATTTATGTTTCTCATTTTCTCATTAATTTTAGCTTTTCAAATCAGAAGGTATGAGTTTAGGATTCAGTGTTGTTGGTTTGAGGAATAAAGAAAGAGATGAATTAGGAATATTTTTACAAGAGATTCAACCAAATGGTATAGCTGGAAGGTAAGTTTTACTACAAAAATATTGTAAATTAAGGCGAAAAGTTTTGAATATCTTATTCTATAATTATTAGAATGAAAGATGGGCATTTTTTGAAAATTTATCTCTACAGAAAACTTTATTTTTGCAAAAAATATTAGCGCGCAATTACTTTATTTACTATTGTTATAATTAATATCATAAGATAAATGTTGCCTATTGTATTAAATATTTTTTGCAATATGTCTTGGGGTTTAATACCTGTATTTACCAGGAAATAAAGTTTAGCAATATTTGATGCACAGAAAAATTAGTTTAGCGTAATATACTACAATTTTGAAAGGTCGACATTTAGTTCATCTATATAATTCGTAATTATCTTGGAACAGTATTTACCGTAACAAATTATTTTAATTTCCATTATTCAAAGATTATAAACAAAATGACAGACTTAAAATAGATATGACGGCTATGCGAATTTTAATTAAATTTGAATATCTTTCAATGTAGCATTAAACGATGCATTATTGAAGAAAAATATAGTAAGTCCTTCGCAAGGTTCTTATAAATGGCGAACCATGTATAAACATTCAGAATTAATAGTCGCAAGAGCATCTCTCTCCAGCAGTCGCTGTATAAATACGACGCGAGCAGTCCGCCCGGACCCTCCCTTCCGACACGCACGTAAGCCTCGAAAGCTGGACAAGTCTCGGGTAATTTTTGCAAGCGTACGTCAAGCAAGCGAGTATAAAATAAAAAGCAACAAAGCTTTTCATCCAGGATGGCGTCCTATGCGCGTGTGTGTGTATGTATGCGAGAGAGAGAGAGTGTGCCCGCACGCGATAAGGTGCAACGCGCGCACGCGGACACGGCGTACGAATTATTCATCAAGCTTCGCCTGTACTTCATACAAGCAGGCGCGCAGCAAACGAGCGAGCTAGAGCGAATGAGAGAGAGAGAGAGAGGAAAAATCGCTACTTGAAAAAGCTTCGAGCTCGTGAAATATTTCTCGCCTTTTGCGCTGCTCTCTCACTAGTCTCTCGGCGCGCGTACCATCAACAAGTCGTAGATACGTCTGTGTCGACGGTAGCTACATGCGCAGCCTCGCAGAATACCGTACAATGGATCCCTCGTGAGTCTCGCTGACTACGCCGTGTTGCAGCGGCAGCAGTGCCACACGGCAGTTGGCGTGTTGCGAATTATCGATTTTTATACCTTGTGTAGCGCATAGCAGGGTCTCGCATGCTCTGTGCTTGCAGCTTGCTACCTGCAGAGAGCGCGCGCACATATAAAACTGCTCCGCCACCATCTAGCATGCACGTTTAAAAAGTTTCGTGCAAGTGTGCTTTATTTTTCGCACCTGTTTCGCCTACGGCAAATACGAAAAAAAGAGGAGAATAAGTAAAAAATACGGCGCGCACGAGTATATATTCTTGGCAAATTTTTTGCGCGCCCACGCCTATAACTGGATATTATAGGAGGTGGGCGAATACCCAAAAAATCTCGACTGGCTTCAGTCGACCGATTCGAGTTTTTTTTCGAGCTTGAGTCGAGTACTTGAATTTTTGGGTACCCCACGTTTTTAGTTTTTTTTATTACTATTATCAATCTGTAATTCAAGCGTTTACTAAAATTACAAGAATTTTTTATTAGTGCATATCCTCTTAACCTAGGATAGTTTATGATCTCCAGAATTTCACTTCGTTATACCTTTTCTTATATTCAAGCCTCGGTGATATAAAAAGCAGTTATGCCCGTGTGTGTGTGCTTGCGCCAGCGTGTCGCGCTCATCTGTCATTCTAATAAGGGCCCCACGAAAATTAATCACCAGTCGAGAGCTGCTCGCGTCTGCAGCTCGCAGCGTATATAGTCGCGTGTGCGCGCCCAGCAATAAGGCGTACATTTTTTAAAAAGCCCCCGGCCTTGCTCCATCTTCATTTAGTATATGCACGTGTGCATCGCCTCGCTTTTCACATAAGTAATAACGCGTACGCGTACAGCTCGGGCCGCGTTCTTTGTTTCGACGATGAATCGCCTCATTCAATTACCTATAGCGTCGTATCGTAAATAATTTTTACAGCGTGAGGCGTTTTTTTCATATTTTCGCACTTGCTAAGTTTGTCGGATTGAATCAGTAATTGAGAGATGCAAAATTCGCTGCGCCTATGTGTACACGCGCGCCATATAACGACAAAGTCGTCGCGTGCGTCTCTTGTGTGCAGTAACTTTCAGCCGCGGCGTGGCAACGCACTGCAGCACGGGTGGCTATGCGTGCATACTCAAAACTTCGCCAAGCGAATGTACCACGCGGGAGTTTTGCGCGAACACGGCGCATTGGTTCTGTTCGTTTCTCCTTGGCCTCCTCCTCCTTCTCTTACTTCAACTGTTCTCTCCATTCTCCTGGTATTCCCTTTTTCTCTCTCTCTCTCTCTCTCTCTCTCTCTCTCTCTCTCTCTCTTTGTATATGCGTATAAACGAGGCTTTTGCTGCAACAAAACGACCTTTTTTTTCTTCGAGCAAGGAAAATAGGAAATTGTACAAAAGCACTAGAAAGTTTCATTCATTATACCGTAATGTGATCGTACCAATGCATGTTTCGCTCGGTACTCCAACACGTCCAATTGTTTCAGACTTTTTTTTATCGTAAAAAAAAAATATTTGCACAATTACTTGAGTTAATACTTACGCGTCAGAATTGTGCAGTTTTATTTGCACTTCGTTACCAATTAGCGAATCTCAAAAATTGCCTTGTTTACCTTTACAGAAATATCGATTATAAGCGGATCAATGTCTTCTATAAACATTGGCAAGCAGTTGGCTTTCTAACTTTTCAGCTCAAGCCTTACTTTTCCGCAAAACTCTCTCGTATAACAGTCCATAAAAGTTCGGAATTCCATCAGATTTTAAGTTGGAAAGGTTTTTACTCTGAAATCATTGATTAAAATTCATGAGCTTTCGATACAAAAGCTCTAGCGGATTACCATAACGGAGAAATTGTTTTTTTCGATTATAAAAATCTCCTGCTCTCTACATTGGGTATTTCGTCTCTTTCCAGTACTCCAGTGCAATATCTGAAATAACCATCTCTGGCGCGTCCCGCTGCACAACTCATTTTCCAAGTTGCAGCGACCAAAAGCTCATCGAACGTGTGTCTTGTATATACTTTTTTTTTATCATATATATGATTTTCATCGCAGTTCGACGTTGTAAGACTTACTTTCTTTTACTTCCGCATCAAAGTCGTTTTACTCTCTCGAAAAAATAAAATGTAACGTCTCTTTTTCGTTTCTTGATGCCGCGGCTAAAAAGAACATATTTTTAAAGGAAAATCAGTTGAGAAAAGAGCCAGCTCCGCGCGACTCGGGACGCGCGTGTGCCTGCGCGCACTAGCGCACGCAATAAAAAATAAGGAAAAATACTACCACATAATGTTTCGCGAGAGCGAAGGGAGCAACTCTCTCTGCGAGAGAGCAAAAGAAGGAAAAAAAACTTTTTTCTCGTGATATATCTGGGCACGAGAGAGAACGAGAGAGAAAGGGCAAGGAAGGTGCGTTACATTCAACCCTGACAGAAAAATACCTACCGCTATATATACGCGGACCGTGCGCTGCTTTACGTATAATATATACGTTATTCATTATAAGGTATAAGCACCCGCTGCTGCTGCTTGGCGAGAGAGAGAAAAAAATAAGGCGCGGGCCAAGGCGGCAGCAGCAGAGGCAGCCCTAGCACTATATATACACGCATACTCGGAAACGGGAGTGTAAGGTGAAGTTGACGCGGAAGGGAGAGGCAGGCCGACCACGAAGATGATTGACCGCGATGAAAAGAAGAGCTCGCGAAGAAGAAAAAAGTCGAGAGAAGAGCCAGTCTGAGCGACCACAATTCGCCTCGTGCTAGCCGGGCTCTGTGCATGCAGAATAAGCTATGCAGTGGACCATGTGTGTGTGTGTGTGTGTGTGTATCAGTGTAGCAGTAGCGAGTAGTGCTGTACGAGGCCGACGCTGGAAGCAACCAGTGCTACAGTAGCAGTGTGTGTGGCACACTGGTAGCGCGGGCTCACCGGTAATACTTGTGAAAGCGAAAAAGAGAGGAAAGAAAAGTCGTCGACGTCGCCGCTGACGTTATATATGTGTATATATGGATGTGTATGTATACAATAGCAGCGCCCAAGGGCTACAACCTCTCGCTACGTTGCAGCGCACATATATATACGTATATAAGTGCTGTGTATATTTCGGCGCGCTATGCTTCTGATATGCTGCCGCTGCTTATATTCCGGGATGGCAGCAGATAGCAGTAGCGGCAGAAGCAGCAGCAGCCCCTTGATGCGAAAAAAGTAGAAAGATTATATTCGCCGGATCGCAAAAGATCAAGTTGAAGGGTATGAAAATCTGTTTTCTCGGCCCTAGCCTTTTTCTATGCGGAACGAGAGCGCATATTATGATTTCATTTCGCTGCTTTACGACGGGCTGCACGTTTGCTCGTGCATAGCCGCACGTACGTCGGCGTCTATGTATAACAATGGACTTTCGAGAGAGAGAGAGAGCCAAGATGTCGCATTATTATTAGTATTGAACGTTATGCATACGTTTTTCCGATCGCTCGCTTGTATTTGCTCGCTCGCAACTCGTCCGCAGTATAGATAGATACGATAACATCGCATTAATAACTTATTATCGATCGAATGAATATTGATTGACTGAATGTTGCATGATGGCCTGCTGTACGGCCACAGCTTGCAGCTGCTGCTGCTCACTCTATATCCTATATCGATTAACGGCTAATTTATTATTTCTCGTCTGAAAAAAGATAAAATCGTGTTTCTTCGTGGATGCTAACCTTTTCCGCATAATTTTACTTTTTCTGCAAAAAAAACGAGAGAGAAAGAAGACCTGGAGGCAAGTCGGAAATCCATTGGAGAAAAAAAAATATGAATTTTCGGGAAAGGGAAAATTGCTTGCGTGTGTACGAGATTGTGATTGAACTTGTTATGTTGACTTTAGATTGATATTGCTCGAGCT